TTTGCTTTTTTTTCTTAGTTACTTTTTCAACAAATATTTTTTGTACAGAGTATTTAAAAATGAATAACAATATTTATTTGATTGTTATTTTAATATTAGTGTCATAGCTTATCACATATTGTAAGTTTTAAACTCTAATTTATCTTTATCTTCAGTTTTAAAGGTTGTATTTATTTTAATATAATGAAACTATACATTTACTTATAGGTTGTTTAAATAATATGTGTTTGATTTTCGAAGTTGTTGTGAAGTTGCAGTTTGTATTTTTGTGTCATGTATTGATCTAGAGTAAGCAATAAGATTTCCCCTCTATTTATTAAAGAGGAGGAGTTAGCCTTACCAAAATTGAAGTTTGAGAAATTAGAGTGGGCAGTGGAAAATACTTAACCACATCTATAAATAGAAGAGGTATTTAAATTTATTTAGTTTAATATGTATATTTTTATTGATATATTTTCTATATTTTGTTTGTAAGTAAATAAAGTTTTTTAAAAATACCATTTTTTTTTTCTTTTATTATAATTTTTCATAATAATTTTTTTTTTCTTGTATTATTTTAATTAAATATTAAGTAAAACTTTTTAACAAAAAAATATGTTGAAAAAATGTACATTTTGTTTTTACACTAAACACCATTAAAATTTAAGTCAGCAGCACATGCAAAATATTAAAATGATTCGAGAGCTCCTGTGACAGTGTTTATGATTCTCCATGTCAAAACAATACATTGTCAATTAAAACTTTGTGAATTACAGTAAATAGTTTTCATAATAATCAACAGTTATCACAGGTATTCATAAGTCTGTTAAGTACTTACAATATGATAGAACTTAAAAGTTTTTTACTGTGTTTGTTCATTATTGATGTGTCCTCATCTGTTCAAAAAAAACATTATTGTTTTTAACTAATAGGATCATACTTATGAAAAAACTTAACATTTTGCTAAATTATTTTTTTACTTTTTGTTTGTTTTTACAATTTTACCTTCATTATCTTCCGATGGTAGAGTTATTTAATATATTTAACTGCAAATATTATGTACTAAAAACATTAGTTTAGTTGTAATATTTTTTTAGTTCTGCTTTGGTCCTCTACCGACTATTATATGTTTACTTTGTCTACTGTTAAAATATGGTTTTAACTTAGTAAAATTTAATTATTTTAAACTTACTATGTTGATCATTAGCTAATAGTTTAAAAAGAAATATGTTTTTGCAAATAAGGTAAAAATAGTTTTAATTTCTGGTCGAGTTACGTTATTTGTTTGCACCGATAGCTATTATGTTTTGTTATTTTGTGTGATAGCTATTTTGTCTTTGCAATAAATGTTTTTATAAACATAATAATTTTTTTCTTACAGCTTTTGATTATTTTTAACCATACTCTAGAAAAAACATCAGCAACAGTTAAATTGGTTTGCAGTGTTAATCTTTAGTTTTAGACATATCTTGCAATGCTTTTTCAGCATTTTGCAGAAAAAATAGAGGGCCCACATCTCACAAAGTGTGGACTCAAATATAGGGCAAAGCATCCCCCCGCCTCTTTTTTATGCATATTTTTAATATAGGGTGTGGATAAAAGTGATGCAAAAAGAGAGTGGCGGATAAAAAAACGCTGCATCTGTAATTAGTATTTATGTAGTTGATTAATCTACTAATTGTTAATTGATAATGCAAATTTAGTTTAATTAATAATGCAAATTTAGTTTTTTTTTTGTAAACATATACTTTTCTTTATATATTTTGTTTTGTTTTTATGTATAAATAAATTAATTTCCAGTTAATACATGTGGTGTATTTTTTTATTTCTTTAAAACATGCCAAAGTGGTTGAAGTGCGGGTTCCAATTCTTTTGTTTACACTTAGTTTTTTTAATAGCTTTTTTATTTTTCTAGAATACAAAGTAAAACATTTTTAAAGGCCTATACATGTTATATGCATAACGTATTTTAAGATATTGTTTACCATATTAAGAGAGAATTTTTCAAAAAGCTATTTTAAAATTTCTAAAAACATTAAAAACCTTTAAAAATTTCTAAGAAAAATGATTATACCATTAAAAAGTTTGAGCATGAGAACTTAAATTGTTGAACATGTAATTAACAACTTATGTGTTAATGTGCTCAGTAATCAGTTAAGTTGGCGCATTAAAGAGGCAGCATTTTTATAGAAACAGCAAAGGCAATTTTCTTATAGAAAAAACTTTTTTCTTATAGAAAAAGATTTTACATGCAAACTTGATTTTTCTTTAAAATTAAGGTGGCAAAAGTCCTAATAAGCTACAGATCTGAAAACAAAAATAATGAAAACTTATTAAAGCAAAAAATTACCGCCGTTCCGGTTTTTTTTTTATTGAAATTCATAGAAGTTATGAAGTGTTGAACATTTATCGTTAACTCGACACAGAGATTTTATTAATTATCTCTTTTTTAAAAATTATTGAAATAAAGAGAAGTTATTAAAATGGTTGGTGTGGAATAGACTTACCATGAACAATATTATACGGGTTATAATAAGTCCGTTGTTTATTTAGGTCATCTCATGTTTTTTGAAACTTTTTAAACCGATGGTAATTTATTAACTCATTTCAAGCAGGTGTTATAAATATTTTTTAGACTGGTAGTAATGTTCCAAATCTTTAAAAAAGGCAACGTATACAAAAACGGTGAAAGTTTTAAAATTATTTATATTAGAATTTGTATAGCTTTAAAATGTAAACAATGAGTATAGTTTTTCTTTTTTTATATAATTACTTTTCTACCGCTTGCTCAAAAGTATTGAAGTAAGGACTAAGTATAGAAAAGGTCGGATTGTAATACATTCATAAGACCCGTGTTTTACGGGTCATAATAGCTAGTTAAAATTAAAATTAAATAATAATCGCATATTTTTTTTTTTTAATATTTTTTTGTTTGTTTTTGGTTTTATCTGGTTTATTTATTGATTTAATTTTAATTAAGACAATTTCATTTTAAATTGATATTTTTGTAAATTTTTTTTTGTTTCTTAGTTTATTTTTATACACTTGGAAAAAATTTTGTAAAATATATATATTGTAATAATGTCTTTTTTTTGCTAGGGCCATAAATTTTATTTGTAAATTTATGAAAGTTGTAAAGTTTCTTCAACAGCAAAATACAATGTTCAAAAAATAAAAGTAATAATAATATCAATATTTGTGCATGGGCCTTAACAACATTATCTTAACATCGAAAAAACCATATGGTTTTAATGTACATGGTAAAATATTATCACCTACTGAACAACTTCAAAAATGACATTGTTGGAGTAAAAAAAGGATCAATTCCTATGATTCTTCTTTGCAAAATTAAACTTCAGCACGTCTTGCTTGTAAAAATATAGATGAAAATATGCACAAAAAAATAATTGCTGTAGCAGACCCAGAAAATTCAAAATTCAACAGATATTCTAAAAATTAAGAGCAATATAAAGAGTCAAATATTCATTATTATTAGACCACCTCAGCTATCGCTTTAAAAAAATTGTTGCTTGTTGCATGGCAGATCATGATTGCTGATTTTGTTTCTCCTGATCTTAAAAAGTTAACCACAGTAAAGTATAATATTAATTGTGTAATGAAATGAAAAATTTATGCTGTTCCTCACTATGATTTAAATAATGATTCAACAAATACTTCGAGAAACAAAAAATTCTTCTCTGCAAAACCTGCTAAAGAAAATTCTGTTCCTAAAACAAAAACATATATAATAACAATTTATTTGCAAGCAATGAGTCAACAAAATTTAGAGGTAAAATTACAGAAGTAAATATTTCAAACATTCAAAAGATGTACTCTACTGATTTCTATAATATTATAAAATTTTTTTAGCAAAACACAGGTTCATGGCTAAACATAAAAAAAACTAAATAACTGGTAGTCAGTAAGTGGAGATCAAGAATCTTCACCCCCTTCCCTACAAAAAATTATAATAATATGCACTATAAGTGTACAATATTATAGGAGAGGACTTTCAAAAAGTGAGTAGGTACTAAACCACTATATTTGCCACGCCTCCTCGTCCCTTTTTTGTACAAAGCAGTTTTTTTTTAGACTCATTCTGCCTCTGCGCACTACGCATCGCTCTAATGCGAAATGAGATAATAAGCTTATTAATAAAGTAGCATTCTACATATTAAAATATTTTTTTACAAGATATCGAAAGTTGTTTCCTCCTCTTCTCCCCATCCGAAACGTAATGGCCTACAAGTTGATAAAATATTTTTTTGTGTATTTTCAACTAGACTTATATTCATCAATAAATTTCAAGTTTCATAGTATTATCTCTAAGCATTCAAAAATAATGACCATATAAAATTTGTAACTCCCTTAAACTAAGGCAAGGGGGTGGGTGGGTGGCTGGGGGAGATCCAGCATTATTTGGTTTTTGAGATGTCTAACTTTTAGACATGGAGCAAATTTCAAACATTTATATGTTTATACTTATGTCAAATAAGGATGCATTGCAAAAAATTACGATAATTGGAGAGAGGAACAAGTTTATAAAATGTTTTTTGAACTATTCATAACTAAACTTATTTTCATCAATAAATTTTAAGTTTCATTGTATAATCTCTCAGCCTTGAAAAAATATGGCCATATAAAATTTGTAACCCCTTAAATTTAGGTGTGTTTAAAATTTATATAACAATAATTTTTAAACGCTTTTTAAACATTTAAATATAAAATAATATTAAAATGTAAAAAAATTTATATAAGTTTAAGTAGACCAGTAAGAAACCTTGTGCAAGAACTATTTGTTAATTGTAAAAAAAATATATATTTTAATTATTTCAAACATAACTATTTAAAAAAAGTTCAAAACACTTTTAAAAAACATTTCCATCGTTGATCGATGAAGTAAATTTAATAATTTAGTTATATAATATTTTAACATAAAAAGATTTATTTAACATTTAAATAATAAATCTAATTAACTAATAAAATTAACTCGTATAGTTAAAAACATATTTGTTGTTGAATAATACATTAAATATTTCATTAACTATTTATAGTAATAGTTTTCTTTTTAATATATTTTAGATATTAATTATTTTATCATGTTGTAAAGTTTTTTAATTCATCAAGGTTATGAAAATTATTTAAACGGTACTCGATTGTAAACTTCTTGACATTCGAACAACGAATCCATTCATAAATTTCTTTAATGTAATCAATGTCTCTGTGAAGGTGAAGTTCTAATTCTTCACAAAGATTAATCCACGGAAGAAAATTTTCTTCAAAATCTTTTTTTGTTATTAAACAATATGAGATCGATATCTTCAACACTTCAATCTTATCTTTAGGTTTCCATCCTTCGAAATTAATTGGACGATAAAAGCTGACTTCACTAACATTAGTTGAGCATTGAATTAAAAGTTTTTTTTCTTCATCACTTAAAATATTTTTATAAACACTTAGCCGCAATAACTTTCTTCCAGATTTTAAGTAATGATTTATGAAATAATTTTCGCAAGAAGTTAAGTAAGAAGTTTTTCCGTCGTCAATCGCAATCCACCACTCTTGTTTATCAACAATCGATTTAATTTCATCAGTAAATGATGATTGACTTTCATAAAAACATTCAATGAATAAATCATGGTTATTTTCAGCGAATATACTTTCACTTAGACGATCTAAAGTAAAATTAAGTATAATGATATAAATAAACAAAAAATTGAATAATGATTAAAATAATAATCGAAATAATAACATAATATACATTATAATATTTTACATTTTTATAAATATAACTAGTATTAAATTATGATTGAAGAAAAAAATATATATAATTTCTTATTATTATTAAATATATATTATTTTAAATAGTAATACTATATACATAAATTAAAATGATATGAAAAAATATTAAAACTGTGAAACTTTTAGATAAAACAAATCTTTGAAAAAAGTAATAAAGATAAAAAGAGTTTAGTAATTTTTAAAATTTAAACATTGTCTTTATCACATTATTGAAACAAAATAAGCTAAACATATACAAAATAATATAACAAAAATTATTCATTTATATAACTTAAAAATACTTATTTTTATTCTGATATTCATTCCAAACAAATTTAGTCGTTCAGTTGTTTTAAAAAGGCATAAAAAAAAGACTTTTATTTAAACAACGATTTGAATGAACTAAATGTTTGTAGGAATATTTTTTGATTCGATCTTAAAGTTGTTTAGAAACTTTGATGAATTCATTTCTTTAAGGACGATTTATCGGGCATTGTAAATGCGGAAGCTTTTAACGGTTCAAGTGCAGGAATAAAGTGCAAAAAAAATTTAGGTGCTTGGGTGCCTCAGAATATATCTTGACTGATTTAGGAAGAACATGAAAAGGTGTACTGCTACATCGAATAACTGGATTGGTGCAGTAATATGGTGAGGGTTAGAGAATATATTACGCACATTACTCCAGCAATTTACCCTTTGAAAAATATCCGCATTTTCGCATTTTATCTGTCTCCCAGGGCCGACGACGCCGACAACGCCATGGGGCACTTGTAGCTATGCTTTATGGAACGCCATAAAGCATAGCTACAAAATTTAAATAGTAATACATAAAAGTAACAAACATAAGATAAGATAAAGCCTAAAATTTTTTACCTTATAAAAGTAAAAGTTCTTAGATTGGGTTAATTTAGGTATTTTAGCTAAAACCTAAGATACCTAAGATAAACCAATTATTTTAAAAATTTACCATAAATTACATCAAATGTTCGTAGCACTATACTGAACAAATATTGTAAGTATAAAGAACGAAAAAAAATTGATTATAAACACAGTCGGTTGAAATGTAATCAAATAATATTTCAGCATGTTAAAAAACCCTTTATCATACTATACTATCTTTTTGCGTACAAATAATATGCCTAATATTTTTAAGATTTTTTTTCTTTTAAAAAAGTTAGTCATATTATAGGTATACAAAAAACATTTTGAAAAGAAAAAAAAATTTTTTAAATGTTTTGTGAAAATTATTTTTTGCAGCGTAGCGTTTTTGTGCCAAAGGTGTTATAAGGATGTTTTGTTATCTTAAGTTTTAAAATTTTATATCAACTTAGACTTTATATAAAAGAAGAATGATTAAAGTTGTTATACGCTTTTATTTTTTTGCACCACTTATGTTTTCAACTTTTTCATTGGTATTAAAAACATTATTCTTGTTGTGAAACTGCATTGATATTGAAGGCAGGTTGATTTGTTTTTCAACATATATATTTAATTTTTTACATCTTTTCTATATACCTTCCGAGTGTCATAGAAAAACAAATTTACTCTCTCATACTCTATTATCGTATTTTCGTATTAAAGGAATAACGAAATTAATATTATGTTTTTTTACGTTAAACAAAAAATTAAAGATGAAGTTCTATTACAAAACTACCGTTTTTTCAAGTTAGTTGCAGTTTTCTTGTAAGAAAATTATTTCAATTTCAACTTAAATTGCAATAAGCTTGTAAAATCATTCGTTTTTTACAAAAATTTCACTATTTTCAAATTAATTTTTTATTTTTTTATTAATATATAGATGTATTTTTATTTTATTTTTCTATTAATTATATAGATAGACTTACCATAAGTCCAGTTTTGACCGGAATTGTCCTGGTTTTATGCTGTTTGTCCTGTGCCCTAACGGTTTTGTTTTGTCAGATTTTCGGGTAAAAAAGAAATTTTTTTTTATTTAGTTGCAAACAAAATCATGATTTTGAATTTTGAATAAAGCACAGACTACGAAAATTATAATGTTTTGATACTAATACAAATACTAACAATTACTTTTTAGGACTGCGTTTTATCAAGAATTCAAAGTCTAATTTTGAATCATCTTAAAAAACGCTAGACGTTGACTTTTCCGGTTTATGTGTATAAGAAAGCCCCACCAAAACTATTTTCCCAGAACTGTTTTCGCACGCGTTCTTTTTATATTAACAAAAAAGTCTTAGTTTTATCTTTTATTTATTTCTCATTGAGTAACGTTTTTAACAATCTAATTGTAAATTTTTCTTAACGATTTAATTGTAAAATTTTCCTAACGATCTAATTGTAAAGTAATTACTTTTTCTTTGAATATATTGTAATAAGAACAAAAAACAGAATTTTCTTTTGCGCATGGTGGACGAGCAGATATTAAAAGCCATATAAAGTGTGCCAAACATAAAGCTAGAGTTTCGGCTGCTGCCTGTTCTTCATCAGTTAAAGGATTTTTTAATGATGAACCAATGAAGGTGATTTAGTTATTGCAGCAAAGGATGCTACATTTGCCTTTCAAATAGAAATGCATGATTTGATCTTCAAAACATCTGACTGTACATTTTGTAAGTGTTTCTAATGAATCATCAAATAGAAAAGAAGTAAAACTTTTACCAGTTGTTGTAAGGTACCTTTTTAGCATTGGAAGGTATCAAAGTAAAAATTCTGGGTTTTGAATCTATTGATAGTGTAACATCTAAAAATTTGACTGATAAGCTATTTCAACATTGCAGCGTCATAAAGTTAATAAAAAGTAGCTGCATTTTGTTTTGAGAAATGCAACACAAACTTTGGTGGAGTGCATAGAAAAGGTAAAAATAATGTTTACAACAGGCTCAAACAAGAACTTGGTGTTAATATTGTTGGCATCGGTTGTTGTGCACATATTCTGCACTATACACTTCAATCTGCAGTGGATGGTCTTCCAATTGAAAGTGAAGCTCTTGTTGTTAAAATACATAAGTATTTTCATATCTACACAGTCTGAGTAATTGAGTTAAAGGAATTTTGTAATTTTGCTAATGCGGAATATAGCAAAATAATCCAGCATGGAAGTACTAGATTTCTTTCTATTACCCGCAGTTGAAAGAATTTTGTATATGTTTGAGACACTGAAGTCATATTTTATTTTTCAAGAAAACTGTCCACGTGCTTTACAAGCATTTTTTCAAAGTGAAACAGGTGAGTTATATTTCTAGTTTGTGCATGGTCAGCTAAATAATTTAAATAAAACTGTATTAGGTATGGAAAAAAGTCAACCAAATGCAACAGACATTATTTAGGAACTAAATAAATTAAAATGTTCTCACGAGGAAAGAATGCATAGTAATTTTGTTCCACAAGGAGCAAAACAGTTGCTTAGAATATTTAGTGCCCAATTTACTACATTTATAACAGAGGTAAATTCCTTTAATAAACATGTACGTATCGCTTATATTGAACTTTGGGAAAATAGTTTTGGTGGGGCTGAAATATTTGCATGGATTGGACTTGATTACGTACTGAAGTGAGAGAATATTGAACAATCTGCTGAAGCTATAAACAATATTTATGGCTCAGATAATCAACAAAAAATTAATATTGACAGTCTTTTTGATAAGATTTCAAGTACAAAAAAATTTTTTGCATCAAAAAAGGAAGAATGGAGTTTATTGAAAATCCAAATTGCTTATGTTGACAAATGGGTTCATTAATTTAAGCATTTTCAAGAAAAAGACATTGGTGTACCTGATTTGGTAAAAGTTATTGAATACATTTTGTGTTTGCTAGGAACATCTGCACGTGTAGAGCGTATTTTTTAAATGATGAAAAAAATTTTGTCATTTGACCAAGGCCTTTTGGAGGAGTCCACGGTACGTGCATTTCTGTACTGCAAGTTGAACTTTAGCATTACATACTAACTTTTTTTAAAAATTATAACTTGTTTGAAAAAGTACATTCTACTAAAAAGTGTAACTCGTATAATAACTTTTAATTGTTTTTTTCTCGCATTTCTTCTGTTAGATAAACTAATAATACAAAAATGTTTTGTCATTGTTTCCATGCTTTAGATCCCTTCAGTAGCTGAGCCATGGAGCTGTTAAGCTCTTTTTTTTATATATAAAGACTTTTATGAAACCTAGTTACAGGGTGCCATGTATTTTGAAGCTCAAAAAAGTAATATTTTTTATAATATAAAATATCAAAATAAAAATAAAATACAAATAAATAAAAATATATTCAGTAACACAACCCACAGAAAAAAAGTAACACAACCCACAGAAAAAAACTGAAATATCGTTATAAAAACTAAAACAAAAAACAATTTCAAGCAAGAACTGGTGAAGTCTAAACCTCCGAAGATGTTATTTAAAGGCTAAAACAAATAAGAAAAAAAAGGAACACAAAGATAAAAAAGAAATTAAAACAGAGAGAAAAAACAGCAGCACTGAATATAATGATAGAAAAACACACAAAGAGACTCAGAAAAAATAATAAAAGTTAAAAAAATTTATAAATAAATAAAAAAACTTTGTAAAGTAATAAAATTAATTTTATACTCATTAGCAACACGCCAGCTAAAAGGTTTTAATAAGCATTAAATGATACAAGAAAAATTATAACAATCATTTATCAAAGTCACATAAATCAACAGTATTAACTTAAATCACAACGCAATTAAAAAAAATACAATAAATTAATAAAAGTAAAATAGTTTACAATAGAGTCCATTCGAAATAAAATATCAGTAAAGTTATTTCTGTGGGTATCTTATGAAACTATTTAAAAATCAAAAGCCAGAAAATAAATCGTAAGGATGAAGCTTTATTAAATGTGGTGATAATTGTTTTAATCAAAGATTTGTAGTTTTGTAATGTAATCAAATTGTAATTTGTAATTTTGTTGTAATCAAAGATGTATAATTTTGCTTACCCCACATTCTAAAGTATTTATCATAATTTCAGTTAAAGGCAATAAGTATATGAAAAAATGCAGGTAATAATTTTTTTCATAAATTTGCAAAACGTATCTATTAAAAGCCTAAAATCTGCCGAAAACACATCAGTAAAAGATAAAAAAATTAATTGTTCTCAAAATTGAGCAGTGTACGAGAACTCGCTGGCCTTGTGGCAGATCTGAAAAAAAACTTTTGTCAAAACATGCCTAAACAGATTTGGAAAGAAGGGAAATATAATTTAAGAAAAAAATACCATTTTATTTCAATAAAGCAAAAAATTGAGATGATGACTGCAAAAACAAACAAAAGAAAGCTGCTGAAAACCGAACTTAAAAAAACTCAAACTAAAAATATTTGTGCAGAATAACAATGTAAACAAATTACAATTATTAATCTTTTCTGTTCATTTTAATCATTTTCAATGCTGACTTCTGATGAAATTGTTTTCTACAATCTGATGCAATGGTTTTAGGGTAAAATGGTTAGTAATTTAAGCATTTTGCAACATATAAGATAATAACAAATTTAATAAGAAAAACCATTTTTATTTAAAAACCATTTTATGCTTTTCTTTCTTTCAATTATGATTTTAATTAGTTCAATAAATTCTCCTTAAACAATTTTTCAAAGAAACTTTTTTTTTAAGTAATCCATTTTTAATTTTGTTTTGTTTTTGACTAAAAGAACTTTAATTTTTCTTTAAGATACAATTGATGTTTAAAATTAACTTGTTTTATAAATTTTAGAAAAATTTAAAACCATAAAAATTGTTTAAGGAATTAAGTTCAGCGAACAAAATACAATTATACAAATAAAAATAATATATAAAGAAAATTATTTGAATAAAATTTGTAAACAATCTGTAAAAACTATTGATTACTTTATTTTAAACTGTTGTGTGTTATTTTTGTTTTATCTCAAATGTTATTAAAAATGTTATTTAAAGCAATTTTTGCTCTTTCAGAGTTTTTTTAGTGTAGGTAAGTTATTTGCAACAAATAAAATAATAAAAAAAAATAATAAAACCATCTTTTATTTAAAAACCATTTCGTGCTTTTCTTTGTTTCAATTATGATTTTAAATAGTTTAGTCAGTTTTTTGCATTAGCAAAATAAAAGGAAAAACAATCAATTTTTTTTTTAAGAACCCATATTCAATTTTGTGTTGTTTTTGACTAAAAGAATTTTAATTTTTCTTTGACACAGTTGTTGCTTTGACACAGTTGTTGTTTAAAGTCAATGTTGATTATAAAAGTAAATATCTATTTTAGACCATATTTTTTATAAAAATTGTTTGAAATTTTAAACTCAACATACAAAATAGACACTTAAACAGATAAAAAAATACATAAAAGTAATAGTTTGAATAAGATTTTGTAAATATTCTTTTGAAATTAATAATGACTTTACTTCAGAATAATTAAAATTTGATATCATTTCATGTTATTTTTTGTTGTAAAAAAGTTATTTATTCCAAATAGTATTACAAACGTAATTAAAAATATTTCTTGGTCTCTAAACGTTTTTTCAATGTAGGTACATGGTAACATTTTTTTGCATTCACTAACTGTAACTTTTTGTTCTTACAAGGTGAGAAAAAATTTTACTTGTTGAAGGTTTTTTAAAGCGATTTCAATCAAAGGAACAAATTTAAGATAACTGTTAAAAGCTTTATAAAAGAAAACTCAAGTCGTAAATTTTTTCTTGTAAACAACTTCTATAAAATATTTGATGATGACTTTGTTTTAGGCCGTTTTGTGATATTTTTTGTCTTGGAAAAATCACAGCCTAAAATATTTAACTCAAAAGGAAAACATTGTTATAATGACTTTTTTCATAAAATTTTATTTATGATGATAAAAAAAATAGCTTGCTCAAAAAATACATAATTTGTTTGTGTTTTACTTTATACTTTAAGAAAAAATTTTGAAGGATTTATATACATATATGAGATTTAGGCAAACAGTTTATTAATTTTTTAATTATGTTTTGTTTCCGAAAAAACAATCTTTTAATTTACATTGAGTTAGGAAAAACAAAATAAACACAAAAATAAAAGTCTCATCTAAAAATAACCAAAACCTTCCATTCCATTTAACCATCTTCAGGCATTTATAAAGCTAGCAATCGCCACTCAATGAATTTAATTTCTTTTTCTTATGTCAAAGAAGACATTAGATAAAGAATATTTTTTGAACTTTTTTAGAAAACCTGCGTAACATTCTAAAACATACCGAAATTAAAAAAGTATATTATACCATTTTAAAAACAAAATATATTAAACAATTGCTTTTTTTTTTAAGTAAAACCGAATGATAACCTACAAAACTGTAACAAATCAAAAATTATAAAAAATACTTTGTTTGCATTCAAAACTCTACTATTAACAGAAATAACTTGTTTCACAAAAAGTTCTTATCGAACTATGGTGAGTCTATTTTATACAATCATCAAGGTGAATAATTATTTAAAAAAGACTCACAATAATGCAAGAAAAATTTAGAACTTACCCAAAATAGAATACAAAATTGAAGATTCATCATATAATTTTTTTGAAGAATTCAGGTTAACAAGAAACTTTATTAAACCTAAAAAAGAATCTTTTTATTAACTCTAAATTAAGAAAAATAAAACACACACACAAATAAAAAAGTCTTATCTAAAAATAACCAAAGCCATAAATCCACCTATAGCATTTATAAAGCGAGCAATCATCACACAACAAATTGAATTTCTTTTTCTTATGACAAAAAAAAAAGTTAGATAAGGATTTTTTTTTTAAACTTTTTAAGAAACCTGCCTAACATTCTGAAACATATCAAAAATAAAATAATATTTTAAACTATTCAAAAAGCAAAGTATGTGAAACATTTGTTTTTTTTTAAATAAAATTAAATGATAAAACCTACAAAACTGTTAAAAATATAAAATAAATCATTTATCAATAGAAGTCATATAAATTAACAGAATTAACCTAAATCATAACTCAATAAGGAAAAAAAGCAGAAATCAATAAAAGTAAAATAATTTACAAACAATCCATTAGAAAAAAATGTTCAGTCAAATTATTTCTGCAGGTGTCTTTTCAAAGAATTTATAAATCAATAGAAGAAAAATAAATCTGAAAGATAAAACTTTACTATATATGGTAACAATTGTTTTATGCAAAGATTTTTTTAAATGCATAATTTTGCTTACCCTGCATTCTAGAGTATTAATCATAAAGTTAGTTAAAACCAACAGATATATAAAAAAATACAGTAACTAGTTTTTTCATAAATTTGCCAAACGCATCTATCAAAATATATATATATATATATATATATATATATATATATATATATATATATATATATATATATATATATATATATATATATATATATATATATATATATATATATAGTTCAAAAAAAAAATCTTAACAAAAGTTGAACAAATCAATAACAAAAACTTGAAAAATTAGAAAAAATACTATTCTGATTTATTCAAAAAATACAAGCATGCACGATTTAAGGCATTTTTTAAGAAAAACTACTGGTATTATAAAAAGTCAATTTAACACAAATAAAATCTCTGATTAGATGTATGTTCATAATATAATATTATTTTATAAGATATGTGAAATTTATTTATAGGATTAATATGAACTTATGAAAAAATCATCTATTTTCAGTCCGGTTAAACAATTTTTTTTGAGCCTAAATTGAATTACCATGATGCAAAAACATATCAAAAGAAGACAAAATAACATCCAATAAAAAAAAGATGAATTGTGAATAAAAAAGAAGAAAGTAAGGTTTTGCAAAGAGAAGCACTGAGAATTTGAGCACAAATGAAAGCACTGAGAAAATCAATGCTAAGGAAAATGAAATATCAGAGTTTGATAGCAAAAGAACTGCTATATTACCAAAAGATATAAAACTATTTGTTGTCAAAGTAGAGCAGTGTAAAAGAACTGGCTGACCTTGTGACAGATTTGAAAAATAAAAAAACTTTTGTCAAAACATGTCTAAACAAATTTAAAAAGGAAGGAAACAGAATTCAAGAATAATATTCCGTTCTAGTTCGTTAAAGCAAAAAGTCGAAATCATAACTGCAAAACAAAACAGCAGTACGCTGCTGAAAACCAAACTAACAAAATACTCAAACTAAAAAAAATGATTATTGAAAACATTTTTTAAAAAACTGTGCATAATAACAAAGTAAGCAAATAAAATTTATTAATCTTTTCTGTTTATTTTAATTATTTTCAGGGTAAAATGGTTAGCAAAAATGTCATCAACTTTATTGTTGTTCTTAGCCCCGTGAGGAGCAACACAAAAAATTGTTATTATTTCCTTGCCGAGTATGTAAGGTTATATCTGCTAAGTTAGGATATTTTATGACAATATTCTGCAAACTATGGCTTTTTGAAGAATAATGATATGAAAAACCTTCATAAGTACCAAAGATGGAATCAAAACAACTAAGGCTAAGACCAAAGCATTATTAGTCAAGACCAAAACATCACAAAGTCAAGCCAAGAAAAAAAAGAAGACTTTAAAATTTTTACAAGACCAAGATTAAAACTTAGATTCTGAGATGTTCACACAATAAGACTAATGCTCACACATGTATGTACACTATTAGGTCTTTAGCTAACGTATAACTGTACCATTTATACACATTTCGCTATAATAAAACGTAATTACACATGTATAATATAACTATATAATATGTATATTATAACTACATAATATATATAAATAACACATGTATAATATAATTATATTATTGCTAATTGTGCAAAAGATATATTTAATAATAACAGAAAAGTCACAGGTGTCTTTATTGTTATAAGCAAAATATGATATCAATAAGAAAGTCCAAAAAATAGGCATGATTATTACACTGTGAAACTAAGAATAGCACACATATAGAAAACATGCTAGGCTTTCTTTGTTTAACTACTGTAGCCACATATCATAGTAACAAAGAAAAAAAATTTTAAAGTAAAGTTTACATATTTACGTATTTTATTTAAGTACTTTATCAGCCTTTCACAGGAAGACGTGCGATCGAACGTCTTTATAAAACCATATAACAAATAGCATTCTGCTTTGACGATTTGACCGCGGCTATTTCAAAAAACATTTTAAAAACGCGCTAAATAAAAAATATTCTGAATTACACCTTAAGTAAAATAAATTACATCAAAACTTTGAAACAAAAATTTTTATATTAGCAAAACGCTTTTAAATAAAGTAACAACTTACTGACAGTGTTTTTTTTTAAAGTATGAATGACAGTCGTATATATTTTTTTAATTTAAAGTATATAAATTATTTAAATGTGCATTTTTTATAATATACGTTATTAAAAAATAAAAAATTGTTTTGTATTTATAAACGATGACATTCTACGACAACGAAAGTCTTTTTATATAAGAATAATTAAAGTTAATACATTTAAAAATTAATCTTAATTTCGTTGAAAAAAAAACACAAATGTTTTAAAAAGCCGTTACAATTAAATAAGTTTTGTTATATACTTTATATACGGGTATATAAAGTTAAGCACTTAGAATATTTTTAGTAATAAATCTATTTGTTATCTTTAGCACTCTATACTTATCATACATATATCAGTTCTAAAAAAACCGTCATCTTACTTTGAGCACGTTTTTTCGCTAATGTCTAGCGACGTATTTAAAATGTTTTATCTTAAGAAATGCCGTGCCACAATAGGGCCACAAACACAACACTTCCAACAATAAGTTTTTATTATTCACTATCCCAGAACCGTACTGACCTCTGTCGGAGTCGCCCTGACTTGCGTGTTTCCTCTGGTGCAATACTCGATTCAATCACGGGGGAAGTTTGCTAGCCCAGTCTTTTTCTGTGTAACTTTGCACTGCATTGCTGGCTGTATGTTCCTCTGTGGATTGTATTTCTTTCGCGTTAGATGTATTTGGTTGCAGCGAAAACAATTTTTGTGACGAATTTTAAAGTGATGGTCGAGGGTTGGTGCGTTCAGGAAACGTGATTACGGGATTCGAATTGTATTCCAGTATATCGGAAAATCGCAGCCGTATTTGATTTATGTGTCGATAAATGACTACGTTGTCATTTAGGATTTCGATTTTTGGTATTATTCATTTTATATTAATTTGTTTAAAAAAATGTACAAATACATAAAAAAATATGAAGAAACTGAATCCAATTGAAAATTTTTCGATATGTTTTTTTTTTAATGATATAAATTGTCGTTTTTGTTTTTCCAAAACACAATTTCCAGTGAATTGACGGTTATATTATTAAATGTATTGAGCAGCCGTGGCGCAGTGGTAGCGTACTTGCCTCAGAATCGTAAGATCCGTGGTTCAAACCTCACCTCTGGGCAAGTTTTGCGACATCGGTTGGGAAGGAGGCGTGAACTTCCTATTAAATGCTCTTCCACGGTGTTCTGTGATAAGACCGTAAGGACTTCTTGGAGCACCTAAATCAACATTGAAAAAAAAAAAAAAAAAAAAAATATGTATTATATTATCTAACTTTGTATTATATTATCTGATTTCAAGATAAAACGTTTTGTGTAAGATGATTTCTTCTTTAAAAACAGTAGATAAGCGTTCCTTTTTTTTGTCCATTTCTTATATTTTTTTAATCTTCTATCATGTCTGTTTCTACAAAATCTTTCAAACCATTAAATAACGTCAACAGTTCTTCTTTTTCATAGAAAAATATGGCAAAAGAAATGCAATGCTTCATTTTTTTAGTTACTGAAAATAAAAAATATATTACAAAATTGTTGGGTTAAGTAAATCAATTCATAAAGTTCTTTGCGCATTTATTTTTTAAAGTAATATTGTTTCCAAGTATAAGTCAACTGCAGTCCGTATTTGTGTTGAATTGGAGACAATGCTATTTTTTTCATTTTTTCATTTACCCGTTGTAAAAACTAACATACTATTATTACATTTGTCAATCAGTTCCATTTATAAATTTATAAAAATATAAGCGTCATCTAAATTTTTTTTATTCAACTGAAATTTATTTCATGTTGAAACAAGTTTCATTGGGAAACTGCAATCCACTAAGAATACATTCTAACACTCGACTTATGATTGGGTCTGGTGCCGAATGGATTTTTACATCTTTGGCTGAGACTGGTGTGCTGGATTGTTCCATCATTAAAATTACATTCTCTGCAACTGATGACTTGGTGTTTTTAATCGGCAATCTGCTCATGCAGTCTGCATTTCAATGTGTAGCCCCACTAAGGTATTTCAAGCAATAGTTGTAAGCAGAAAAAGTTAACGCCCAACGCTGAATCCTTGCAGCGGTCATGGCTGGAATAAACTTTCTTTCAACCAATAAACCCAATAAAGGCTTGTGATCCGTCACTAGAGTAAAATATCTCCCAAATAGATTCTGATGCAGCTTCTTTACGGCAAATACGATAGATAATGCTTCTTTCTCAATTTAAGAATAATTTCGTTCAGCTGTGGACAGCGTTCTAGATATGTAAGTAATCGGTAATTCACTTCCCTCAGACGTGATAAGTGCCAGCACTGCTCCAATTACGATAGATACGGCAAATACGA